CGGTCTTGTATACGATTTGCCGAAGGTATAGTGCTAAAGTCTTTTCGGAAATCGGCTTATTCAGGAGGCTGGAAGTCGTACAGTTCGCATGGAAGATTATTCGTAATGACTCTTGTCGTAATGGCTCTCGAAAACAGCACATGACGCGGCTCAAAAGAGAAATCGGTCTATATCTCTACAGTTCTTTAAGAGAGCGTTATCGCTTTTCTTAAATAATAAGACCACCGCACTTCTGCTCCACGCCTCCGTAGAGTCCCACCATGGTGAACGGAATGAAGGAACTTCTGATGGACTACAAGTACTATTTTTTCGGCCGCTTTCAGAAGCTCCACTGTAATTTCACTCTCACTCGGGGCCTTTACATTTTTAAGATTGTGACGTCTGATATACGTCTAATATATCATCTTATACGTCTTAGAGCCATGCTGCACTTATATTAGTAGTATAGTTGTAGTACGAATGGGCCAGCGTAAAATAGTAGCTTAATACTGCTGTGCTTTGTATGGTGAGTGTAGAGAACTGGAAACTCTTTATTTTACTGGAAAGGAGGCATTCCATCTTGGTCGTCACGGGTGACAACGCATCTGAATTTTGATTTGTAATCGAAGATAGATGTAGATGTCTAGGAACCGCGGCAAATACTAATCATCAGGTGGGCTGCGTGCTTGTTTGTTATAGTATCTTATAAAAATATAAATAGGTATACTAAATTTCCTACCCTTGAGAATAGATTTTCTTAAATTTATGGTTTTTCGAATCACCCCTGAAGGATTAACTAATTTATTTAAAAAAAAACATTCAAATCAGTATTGCCGTTTCCAAAAATCAGTAAACACACAAAAAACCCATCAAATATAGAACCTCCTCGTTTTATGAACTCATTTAAAAACCTTCGTTTATGCAACGTAAATTTGTTAACGCAAAATTTCAGAACTTTAATAAATTGAGCCATCAATCGTTAAACAAATCTAATTACGATATCACGTAACTTCATTGCAATTCCAACAAATTCCACTTAAAGTAATTGACGAGACTTCTTACGCTAGGCTTAAGTCGCATTCAAGCAATAAGTTCCCTTATTATCTGCCTGAGCTCTGTTCCATTACACAATAAGTACTTGTTCAGACCGACTCAGTTGGCGAATCATTGTTAATACCTTCTATATATAGACATCTTCGTAGAGAATAATATCCTTGTAATTTAGTTTGTCATTAGTAGCCCGTCCTACTGGTCTGGATAGAATTAAGATTTTATCAGAAGATTTGGTAAATTTAAATTTGATAAATGTCCAGTTTTTTTTAGACAATCGCTGAACTGTACTTTCACCGTGATATAACATAATTATATTATTCATAATTTTTAATGATTTTGGATTATTTTAACATTAATGATTCTTTTTTGTCCCGTATGCGTTCCACATTAATCCGATAATGATGAAACTTTACGAGGAATTATTTTCTACGTATCGCTATACCCATAGAATACTATAATACCTACATAATAAAACGGGGGAGTGGGCGGAGCCCGTGTAACCACTAACTTGTCACTAATACGTCAATTCACACGTATAAATGTTAAAACAATCAATTGTTTTTTATTTTCGTGTCAAGCGTCGCTGCATTCAAATTATTTAAAAAATGGAAAATTGTGCAATAATTACGTGTCGAAAGAACAGCGGGAAATGAAATTGAAGTAAAAGAGACACATTCTACAACCAGTAAGTCGAAAATATTTATATTTTGTGAACATTAGATGAGATTTTGTGAATATAACAAAAATTAAGAAACATTTGTGTCAAAAACAATAATTAAAAGTCTAAAATGTGTTTGTAGTAGTGATAACTGATAATAAAACGTAATTGCTTATATTCGTCCTCCCGGCAACGTCAATCCTCCTACAAAGTAATAATGACAGCCATTCTATTGTGTATTATAGTATTCTATGGATATACCTTTATATAACGACAAAACTTTGCCAAAGTTAAAACAGTATGTAAAGAAAACCAAGCTGCGTAAAAACTATTTTGTTTTAGGATAGGGTGAAAAACGAGAAAACAGTCCACCTGATGGTAAGTGGTTGCTGTGACCCATAGACGTCTACGTAATTAAAATGCAGATGAGATGTCACCCGTGAGGACTAATATGGAATACCTTGTTTCGAGTAAGAAGGTGTCTCTGAATCAACAAATGGGTCGGGTCAACCAAGGAAGGACCACATTTTCACAGAATAACAGCGTAAATTAGCAGTTTAATGTTGATGTGTTTCATGTGGTTAGTGTAGACGACCGGCGACCCTTTTAACTTGACATTACATTTTGGTCGTCAGGGTTAACAACGTATCTGCGTTTTGACCTTCAATCGAGGGTAAATGTAGATTTCTATTGGCCATAGTATTCACTGACCATCAGGTGAATTTCGGCTCGTTTGTTATCATTAGTTAGTTTGTACCAGTTCTGTCTCAGTGAGCCGGAATTGGTACAGCTAACCAGCTGCAGCCCTCATCGGCAACAAACAAGTTAGTTTGAGTTACATTGTTGTTCAGCCTTTCCTCTTATCTATTGTTCCTTGAATACCGTCGTTGCCGCTCTTAATTATTATTCGTTATACACCCTGCACGTGAGTTCCATTGTATTATAATTCTTTGTTTATAATTACTACGCAACTTCAACAGTCGTAGCACGGACGTCAGTCGGAGCCATTGATGGGTTTAAAGGAGTTCAGAGACGTAGCACCATTATTTGTAATTGATTGTTCAAGACAAAATGAAACTTTGAAAGGTTCGATCGATGTGAGAGTTGAAATAGAAACAGACCAAGAAATACCGGATCAGAAAACCACTTGTTCCTTAGTTTTAAACGTTTGTGTATTCGAGTACAGGCCACTGAGTAATATCGTTAAGAAAATATCATGTATAGCAATACAATAATCGTAGATCTTCAAGGATTCAAAAATAGCAAAAATGAATTTACAGTAAAAGAATTTGCTCTACAGTACACCAAAATATTCCTAATTAAACCTCCTTACCCATTCACTTCACTATATCTTTAAGAGAAAAAAATAATCTGGATTGTAAGGCACAGAGGGTATCGATGGAATGAGGGCTTTGTTGATTATAGAGAATTTCATAGAATTATCAAGACATATTTGAAAGATAAAAAGATTTTTTAAATGGATGTGAAAAAATTAAATGGGTACAAGATCTTTGTGTTGAAAATAATACTATAATAGAAATAAGTTGCTTAGGTGCTCCCAATTTAAATACTCTTTGTGAACTTTATTATAAAGATACTTTACTATATGGCCGTGGAAGGAAAATTGGAGATCCCCGCCGGGCAAGGTGTTGTGTCCGGGGAGCGGCCAACGCTCCGTGTGATAGTTCGGAGATGTTCTATATATACTGTTTATGATTCGGAATGTTGATTCGTTCGTGATCAAGGCTTCGGTATGTTTCGCTTGCGGCGCGACGACAGCGCCGCCACATCACCACCCTGCTCAGACCAGAGGTCGATAGTGCAGCCTCGTTGCCGACGAATGTGCAAGTGCCAGGAGATTGCCTTGTAGTCCGCGGTGAGTCGAGAAGAAAGCAAGTAATCTGCGAGAGTGCCGTGAAGCAGAGGCAAGTAGTAAGGCTCAGAGTCGTGCTGAACACTGTATAGCGCAGAGAGTAGCTTGAAGGAACAGGAAGCATTATTATTCCAGTGCTGCGATGAACCTTGTGAAGCTAGCTGGCTTGCAGGATATGAAGACTGCAGACGATATCTGCTCGGGAGCGATTGGGTGGGGTATTTTTATGACGATGATGAAGCTTGAAATTTCCAAAGGTTGTTGATTGCGGGTTCAGATCACGTCGGGGTCACCAATGTGGCCGTGGAAGGAAAATTGGAGATCTCCCGCCGGGCAAGGTGTTGTGCCCGGGGAGCGGGCAACGCTCCGTGTGATAGTTCGGAGATGTTCTATATATATATCGATTCTTTTCTGTGAGGTTAGGTGGATTGAGTGGTACACAATTTTGACATCTTAGATTTAAATATATTTTAAAAAATAGTTACATTTTGAATTTTATGCTTATTTTTATATGCAACAATTTACTACCTACCAGCTCTTATTTCCAAGTATTTTCTCTAACATCACCGCACTTTACAACTACTTTCACCATGGAAGCACTGAAAGGTTCACTTATGGAGATGTCAAAGTCATTCTAAATTCAAATGGATAACTTTCAGCGGGAACTGCAACAATCTAGTTCTGCTGCCACAACTTCATCTACCCTACCAGGTGATTTTAATGCTTTTATAAAATTCATCTTGGCTGCTTTAACCCTCGGTTAGTTGCGCTTGTTGTAACGTCGTTTGTCGCGAGGGATCTTTGAAAGCCCCTAACATAAATTGGTTAAAAAAGACATAAATTTATATATTTACTTACATTATTTTATGCTTAAGTCCTATTTGATTCAATATCAATAAAATTAAATAAAAAAACATTTAATTTTTTATATGTTTATTGAATTAATTTACATAATAGAAATAGGAACCAAACATTCTCTCCATGAGATCACTAGGTAATTAAAATTAAAAAAAATCTACAGAAATTAAAAACTATATAAAAACTTAAGTAATCGAGATTAAATTGAAATGGTCTATCTTTTTATATGAAATTTGGTACGCTTAATCACAAAAACATATAAACTTTGACGTATTGAAAAACTTAATTAATTTTCAGTACGAACACATTCAGTACATGCTGTTTTAGTATCTGTTGGGCAAATGTTTTCCTTACAAAAGTAACAGATAAATTTAAACTTCCTGTCTGTTCCCTAAGGACAGTGAATACGTCGCCTTCTCATTGACACGACGTTTACTTCACCTTGAATATCCTGAAGTGTTGGTACAAATCTTCTTTAACTGTCTGTCTCAACTCACGCGGCAAATTTGTAGTAGTTGCCCTCGACTGTAGTTTCTCTCCCTTTTTTTAGTATGTAAAAGTTACTGGTCGAAATTTTTATCAATGGTTTTTCATCTCCATCACTGAACGCAAAGATTCGAGAACTTCCATAGATTCGTTCACCAATTCCAAACGCAAGTGCTTTTCGTTTGGCATTTCCAAAGATTCGTCATAATTAGAAAATACCTGATGCAAATCGTCGTCACATTCTTGTTCCGAATCAGTGTCATGCTCACTCACTTGATCAGAAAACATTCCGGTTTCATTTTCCTCATCATGACCACCGCGAATGTCATCAGAATCTTCTTCTAGCCAGCTCAATATGCGTCTTTGCTGCTGTTCGTCCATTTTTATATATATAAAGATGTAAAATTAATATAAAACAATGAAAACAAACACAATATAATACATTAAAATTAAAGTTCATTCATTATCAACGAAACTATAATATAAAAAACAAAAAAGGAGTTGTATAACGAAAATTCCATAATAATAGGTTACAAAATTTTACTTACGCGGTTTGTCGCGTGGGATCTTTCAGAGCCCGCGTGCACGCAAACATGTCCTTAAACGTACCGATTGTCCGCGATCTTAAGTTAGCCGTGATGCGCACCAAATATAATTCAATTCGGGAAGTTATCTTAGGAGCGAAGGATTTTGTAATACCTGGGCTTTGAAAGACCCCACGCGACGACCCGAGGGTAAACATCTTTGCATAACCAAGTAGATCTTCTGGGAAGAGAACTGGATCGTAGTGAAATGCGTCGCCGCAGAAAGATGATCCTACTCCATGGAGTTCCTGAAAAAAAATCTGAGGATACTACCGCTGTCATAAGTACACTTATCAGCACGAAACTCCTTGTCATCGTCTGGGACGCCCTTCCGATAAATCTTCCAGGCCTGTGGTTGTCAAATTCAGCGATACTGTGATGCGAGACAAGTTTTGGTACTCCAAAACCAAACTTATAGGCACAGGTATAACCGAGTCTGAGTTTCTAACAAGGAGGCGCCACAGTGTTTTTCTAGAAGCTAGGCGAAGGTATGGCATCACCAAATGTTGGACCAGGGATGGAGTTATCAATATTTTACTCCAGATGGCACAAGGCACCAACTTGAGACTTTGTCTGAGCTTGACGCATTATGCAACGGGTCAACTTTTGCTTTACCAGTTTATCCTATTGTGGTTGAGGCAAATAAGGCCCCCAAAGATAAAGGTGCACAACAGCGTACTAAGAGGGCCGGTAGAAAATGAACTTTATTCTAATTTTATTTTCTAATTTTGTTAATTTTTGTAATTTCTGTTGTAACTTTTCTCTGGACTTCATATTTAAGTTTCCTTTTTATCATCATATATTCATTACTTTTCCTTGTTAATCCTAGATTAGATTGTAAAATGTAATGATTAATAATCTCTCTTTGGAATGTTTATTATTTAGTGTTATAATTTTTCTTGTATGTTGGTAATTGTTATTATAATCTTTCTTTGGAATGTTTATTATTAGTGATAAAAGTACATTGTAAGGTAGATAATTGCTAGTTAACGTACTGTCACTTTTGACATTTTGACTCATCTGACATTAACACCTCTCACTTTTGTGTCTATGGTATGTTAACGTTCCGTTTCTTTACTTATTGTTAAGTGAATTATACATTTCTTTCCATAATGCTGGCAGGTAGTTTACTGATGACTTATTTATTTTGAATTATTTATTTTATACATATTGACTTAGTTTTACTTTTAATTTTAGTAATCGGATATAATTTAATATGATTTCTTCAGATGATAGTGTTCGTAGTTCGAATTCCTTCGCCTTTGATTCTGCCTCTGATGGATTAAGCAGTATCGACAGCTTTGAAAGCATTGCACCCTTAAATATTATGTTAAATTCAACTTTTTCTGAATTTAGCAAAAACTTTAAACGCTATTCACATAAATGTTCAAAGTATTCCTGCTCATTACCCTGACATGTTGTGAAGTTTTAATAGCAAAAATATACACGCTATCTTTGTTTCAGAGTCGTGGTTAAAACCATGTCTTCCATCAACATCCTACTCGCTTCCAGGTTTTCATTTGATTAATAACGACCGTATCGATCGGGGTGGTAGTGGTGTTTCTATTTATCTGCGCTCTCATAAACCTTTTTCAGTAATTCAAGTTTCAAATGGTTCGTAGACTGGAAGCGAAGCTGAATTTCTCTTTATCGAAGTTCTTCTTGGTCATACAAAATTACTTCTCGGAGTTTTTACAGTCCCTCTCTCACTGTCGACTACTTCACCACGTTAGAAAATATTCTTAACAATCTTACACCTATATATTTTCACAGTATTTATATGGGTAATTTTAAGACTTGTCCTTTAAAAACAATGCTAGATCAATAAAACTTAAATCTATTATTGAAGCAGCAAATTTAAAACTTCTTCCTACTTCTGCCACACACTTTTTCTCGACATAATGTTTGTGTCTTCACCTGACCATGTTCTTAAATTTGGGCAACATGCTGCTGATTCTTTTTGACGACCTTTTATACTTGTCTTACAAAATCCGTTCCCCTAAAGCTAAGTCAAGGATACTACTTCAGCGTAACTTTAGTGACTTGGATTTAGAGCAGCTTTTAAATGACGCTGTAAAGATTGATTGGAGTGCAGTCGGCAATGCATTTACTGTTGATGAACAGGTTGCTTTGTTCAACTCTCTGTTAATTCAGCTTTACGACGTTCATGATACTGTTCGTACAGTGCGTGTAAAGCATCCTCCCTCTCCTTGGCTGACCGATGATATAAAAAAAATCATCCACGTTAAAAATTGTGTCAAAGCCAGTTCTTAGCGATTTGAATAGAGAGAAGTATAGATTAGTACGAAATCGTTGTAACAATCTGAGCAGAAAAGAACAATGACGCCATACCCATGAATCAGTACAAGATCCTGACCCTGTAGGGAAATCTTAAGTCTTTAGGAGTTGGGAAATTATGACAAAATCTCATACACCATAACTTTGATCTCAATCAACTTAATTTGCATTTCTCATCTTCGTCTTGCATTTTGGATTCTCTTTCAAAAGCTCCCACTCCAGACACCTCTGCTATTAATTTTAGCCAATTTATTAGTTGTGATGTTAAGAGAGTCCATCCATTCAAATTCGATTGTTAGCGAATGCATTAGTCGTAAAATGGTCATCCCTCTCATTAATCTCTTTTTACCTATAATCACTTCTATCCTGAATAATTCACTGAATTCATCTTTTTCCCTTCAGCTTGGAAAGACGCATTTGTATTCCTCTTCCGAAAAAGTCAAATCCCTCTAGTTTTTCTGATTATAAACCTATCTCTATTTTGCCTTTCTTTTCCAAAGTTCTAGAATGTCTTGTGCACAATCAATTAAGCACCTATCTTTTAAAACATATCTTTTAAATCCCTTGCAATCTGGTTTCCGTCTTGGCCATAGAACTACTACTGCACTTTTACAAATCACTGATGATATTCGGTATGGTATGGAGAAACAAAATCTTATCATTCTCACGTTGCTTGATTTTAGTAACGCATTTAATACTGTAGAATTTGATATCTTGTTAGGCTTCCTGCGCTCTTTCAATATATCTTCAACTGTTGTTGAATGGTTTCGAAGTTACTTGTTTGGTTTCCGACAGCGAATTTAGATGCAAGAGGTTTTTTCCACCTGGACTACTACAGCTGCTGGTGTACCACAAGGTAGCATGTTGTCTCCTCTCCTTTTTGCAATTTTCATTAACTCTATAAGTTATAATTTGTCCTCTTCCTACCACTTGTATGCTGATGATCTCCAAATCTGTACTCAGTCCTCTCTTGAAGATCTATCTAAAGAAATTGACACTATTAACGCTATCTGACTTCTAATTCAAATTGGAGTAAATATTATGGTTTAGCGATTAATCCTAAGAAAACTCAGGTCATTGTCATCGGTAGTTCTAGATTAATTCGTAAAATCGACTGGTCTTCCCTACCCCCTATTACACTAGACTGCACTCTAATCCCTTACAGTAACAAGGTTAAAAACCTGGGGTTGTATCTTGACTCCTGTATGTCTTGGACCTCACATGTTAATGAGGTCAGTAGAAAAATGTTTGCTGCGTTAAGCTCTTTACGTAGATTACGTAATTTTCTTCCCACGGCAACTAAAATTACGCTCGCCTAGTCTCTACTTCTGCCTATCCTTGACTATGCTGATATTTGCTATCTTGACGTTACCGAGGAGCAGCTTAATAAGCTTGAGCGCATTCAAAATTTATGCATTAGATTTATATTTGGGCTTCGCAAATATGATCATATCTCCGAATTTCGCAAACAGCTCAAATGGCTCCCGATCCACCTTCGCAGGAATACTCACATTCTCTCCGCGTTGTATAGCGTGCTGTTTAATCCTTCCATTCCTCTTTATTTAAAAAACCGTTTCCAGTATCTTTCTCTAACCCATACCACCTTTGCACTCTTCTTCCTTTTTCAAGAAATCCTTCACCGTAACTGCTGTGCGATTGTGGAACCCATTACCTCTCCATATTCGTCGTGCTGATTCTCTTCACTCTTTCAAAAGTCTTGTTAAATCGTATTATTTAGAACGCTATTAGATAAATTACTTTACCTTTTCTCGTACTTTTTTCATTTAATCTATTATATGATAATTTATATATATTTTTCACTTATCTTTACTTGTGTGTATTATTATATTTTTTATTATTATTTTGTATGCCCCCCTCTATTTTAACTTTTGTTATCATCATTCCTCTACGCAAAGATTGTCTGGAAGAAATCACTTTCAGAGTGATAAGACCGCCTATTGTACATACTTTAATTTAGTTTTAACTGTACTTGATGTTTCTGTACTGTGATGTACAAAAAAGAATAAATAAATAAATATATACTGTTTATGATTTGGAATGTTGATAGCGTGCTTTAGGCTTCGGTATGTTTCGTTTGCGGCGCGACGAAAGTGTCGCCAAAACTGTATAACCTACTAGACGTTTTACACATAAGAAAATCTGTGCGTTAAAATGTTTTATGTATTAAGAAATGGTGTTTCGAAAACAAAGTGATTATTTGATTTGCAATAAAATATAAACAAAGACTTCATCTTTTAATTTAAGTTATCTTTGTGTTCGAGAAGAAGAAAAAAAATAGTTTAGTATTAGTAGACAGACAGAAAATAATGTTTTTTTGTACCACCTTGCATTTTAACGATGAAGTAGATTAGCCTTCGTAATTCGTTGTTATATTATTGAACTAGATCTATTTGACATTACGAATGAAACGGTATTAGAAATGGAGCAAAGATCAAAAAAGGCGGATCGATTATTAGGCTACAAATTTAAACCTCTACT